CTATATTATAGTAAAAGAAGCTTTAAAGATATTAATTAAGTATTATATTTAATAATTATCTATAATAATATTATTAAAATATTATTTAAAGATTTAATCTTTTTTTAAAGTTTATAGACTGCTCTTTTTAAGGATTTAAAACTTTTAATAACTTAATAAAAAGACTTGCTTATCTAAAATGCAAAATTAACTAATTTTATAAGATTAGTAGAAATTAAAAAAAGATTAGCTATAACAATTTAAATTTTAGTAGAATAATTATTAATATTTAAAAGTTTTTATAATATAAGTATTTTAGTATAATATAATATATATATAAAGTAAATCTTATACTATAAGAGATAGATTATATATACTATCTAGTCTAAGATAAAGAAGAATCTCTCTTATTTTAGTCTTTAGTGCCACTATCAAGGGAGATTAAATTGTTTATAACGTAATCGGTAAGCGAGCCGCCACTGTAAGCGAACCGCCACTGTAAGCGAACCGCCACTTTTTCTCCAAGGGCCCTCTCTATATTGATTCCGTCAACTTCAACGTGTCGATATGCCACCAATTCGCAGTAAAAACCTAAAAGATTTAGCTAAGTAAGAAGAGAAAATTTTATTAGCTATTTTTAATTTTTAGAATAGAAAAATTCCTAGTATTAGATGAGCTGTTAAGATTTATAATATTTCTTAAATAACTCTCTAAGATTAATTAAAAAATACTTAATAAAGATCTTAAATATATATTAATAATCATAAATTAACTTAATTTAAAGAGAAATCACTTATAAAATAGATATTAAATCTAAATAAGCAAGAATTATCTCCCTAGCTAGCTCTTATGTGAGAAATAATTAATTATCTTCTCTCTCAACATAGAAATTAATAAGTAGAAGAGAAATAAGTTTATAATCTTATTTAATATTATTTAAAGCTTAAATCGCGATTTTTTTAGAGATATAACTATAAGCATATCAAATATAAAAATCTAAAGATAATCTAAGAATATTTTAATTATATATAAGAAGTAATAATTAAGTATAGAATTCTATCAGAGGATATTTATAATTTTAATAAGACTAGATTTATTATAGATCTCTATACTACTATAAAGATTATAACTAATAGTAATTAATATAGCTGTCTAAATCTATTATAATCTAATAATAGAGAATAGGTAACTATAATTAAAGCAGTTAATTTTATTAATTAGATTTTACTCTTATACATAATCTTTAAAGTAGTTAAATATCTTTAATATAGCTAATTTAAGATGCTATTAGCTAATTAGAAAATTAATATTAGTGATAATAACTAGATAATAGATAAGATTAGTATAAATTAACTTATTAATTACTTTATTCCTTATATAAATGGCCATATAGTTAGAAGATATTAGATATTAATTCTTAATAATTATAAAAGTTATTTAATAGCTAAATTTAATTATATATATATTAAAAATAATATTATTCTAATCTATATATCTATTTATTCTTTATATCTTTTATAGCCTCTTAATATGAGCTGCTTTGCTATTATAAAAAAGAAATATAAGTATTTTATTAAGTAGTAGATAAGACATAGATTTAATTATATTAATAAGATTAACTTTTTTATTATATTTCTAGAGGCCTATATAATAGCATATAAAGTTAAGACTATTTAAAATAGCTTTATAGTAACTAAAATAGTGTCTTTTAATCTAGATTAAATATATTAATATCTTATTACTTAAGTAAAAATATTAATACTATTTTCTAATTAATTAAGTAATACTTAATCATCTTATTTATAAATATCTTAAAATCTATACTAATTTAGATAATAAATAACTATAATTAAGAAGTAAATAAGCCAGCATATAAGAAGCTTATCTAAGATTATTAATAAAATAATTATATAAGTATCTAAAGCTTATAAAATAAATTTTAATAAGCTTCTTATTATATAAAAGAAAATCTATAATCTATAAGCTTTATATAAGAAAGAGAAATAAAAGTACTATAGATCTAGGGCTTAGACAACTTATAATTAAGGAATTATTAGAGAGCAAGCCTAGGCTCTTATATAGAGCTAGATTAAGATATTTTAATCTATTATTATTGCTCCAGCCAAGCCTGAGCTTCCTATCTCTTAGGTATGTTTACACCGCCAATTTTAGTATAGTAAGTGTAATATTCTCAGATATAGATTACCTCAATGTCCTAATTAGTCTAGTGATTTCTTTTTAATATATAAATATTATTAGGTGTTAAAAATTAAGCTTTAAAATCAATATAGAGAGGGCCCTCAGAGAAAAAGTGGCGGTTCGCTTACAGTGGCGGCTCGCTTACCGATTACGTTAGTAATGAGGCGCTTAGTAAAACAGCGCTACCTAACGTAATTCACCCCCGAGGTGGCCACCCTACCGAAGTGGCCACTTCCGCTCCGGAACACGTCAAATATCTAACTCTCTATATTCAACGCGCCAATATGCCACCAATTCGCAATAAAAATTAGTTGGATCATCGGGAACAAGAGGGGCGTATTTAATTAGCAATATCTAACCTAAAAACTGAGAAGATTCACTCTGTATGATAAGTAGCAGAGATCTATAATATTTCCCAGTCAACTCTTCAAAAGAGACTCAATGGCAAGGCTTATTGGCTTAAGTTACGCGCTAATAGACATAAATTGACTCAATTTAAAGAGGAATTGCTTGTTAACTAAATATTAGATCTAGATAAGCAAGGACTACCTCCTCGGCTATCTCTTGTATATAATATAGCTAATTATCTTCTCTCACAACATAAAAATCAACAAATTGAAAAGAACTAGGTATATAAACTAGTTTAATATTATATAGAGCTTAAAATGCAATTTTTATAGAAATATAACTATAAGCGGGCTAAGTGTGAGAATATAAAGATTATCTAAGAATATTTTGACCATATACAAGAGGTTATATTAAAGTATGAAATCTTACTGGAGGATATCTATAACTTTGATGAGACTGGCTTTGCTATGAGTCTCTGTGCTACTGTAAAGATTATAACTGGTAGTGATTGATATAGCCATCTAAATCTATTATAACCTAGTAATTAAGAATAGATGACTGTAATTGAGGTAGTTAACTCTACTAGTTAGGCCTTGCCCTTATATATAATCTTTAAAGTAATTAAATATCTTTAATATAGCTAGTTTGAGACGCTGCCAGCCAATTGGAAGATTAATATTAATAATAATAGCTGGATAACAGATAAGATTGGCATAGACTGGCTTATTAATCACTTTATTCCTCATATAAATAGCTATACGATTGGAAGATATAGGATGTTAATTTTTAATAGTTATAGAAGTTATCTAATAGCTAAATTTAACTGTATATGTATTGAGAATAATATTATCTTAATTTATATGCCTTCACACTCTTCATATCTTTTATAGCCTCTTGATGTAAGCTGCTTTGCTATTATAAAAAGGTAATATAGGCATCTTATTGAGCAGCAGATAAGGTATGGGTTTAAATATATTGATAAGATTAACTTTCTTACTATATTCTTAGAGGCTTATATGATGGCCTATAAAGCTGTGACGGGGGTTGCAAGAACGTAGCTGGGATTCGGCTTCGGCCTAGGAATAGATTCGAATATATAACGTATATACACGTATGCTCAGCAGCTAATCGCTGCTTCCCGAAGGCCTGAGGCCACCCGCGGTTATAAGGTGGTGTCTGCCAAGCCGCTAGTCCAATTAGCGGCGGGAAGCCGGGCGAGGTCACGTGCCCGCTGTACTTTGAAGCTATTCCCAACTCCACCAGGATTCCGCCTTACAAAAGCTGAGACTATTTGGAATGGCTTTGTAGCAACTGGATTAGTACCTTTTGATTTAGATTAAGTATATTAATACCTTACTATTTAAGTAAGGATACCAACACCCCCTCCTAGTTGATTAAGTAATACTTAGTTATTTTATTTATAAATACCTTAAAATCCATGTTAATTCAAGCGCCAAATAAGTATGATTAAGAAGCGACTGAGCCAGCATATAAGAAGCTTATCTGTGGTTATTGATGAAGCAATTACACGGGTTTTAAAAGCTTATAAAATGAGTATTAATGAACTTCTTATTGCTTGGAAGGAAATCCATGATTTATAGGCTTCACATAAGAAAGAGAAGTAAAAGCGTCGCAGATCTAAGGCTTAGATAACTTATAATCAAGGGATTACTAAAGAGGAAGCCTAGACTCTTATACAAGGCCAAGTTGAGGCATCTTAACCTATTACTACTGCTCTGGCTGAGCCCGAGCTTCCTGCCTCTCAGGTGCGTGTACGCCGCCAATTTTGGTGTAATAAGTGTAATATTCTCAGGCATAGATTGCCTCAATGTCCTAATTAGACTAGTACTTTATTTTTAATATATAATTATTATTGGGGGCTAAAATTGGGCTTTGAAATCAATATAGTATGTGTTCTCGGAGCGGAAGTGGTCACTTCGGTAGGGTGGCCACCTCGGGGGTGAATTACGTTAACTAACGTATTTCCCGGGTAAACCGAATGTTACGAAACCAACTTGCATGACACTAGTTCAGACTAGTACTATTCAAGGAAGGCATTATATTATGTCACGCGCCTGGATCCACCTTAGTCGTCACTGGCTGTGTCGAGGTACTACTCTGATATCTCGCGCCGCGTCGTTCGCTAGCCAGGTAAGTGTCGAGATAAGAAACCCGGCTGGGACGGCCTATGAGCCAATCAATCAATCAATCAATCAAGCGACGTGTCTGGTATCCTAGTTTACACTTCCCAGGTACCTGTATTGTCGGCATCTCTGGTTGATCTTTGGTGAGGACTCCATCTAGTCCCTTGTATATTTACAAAATCAGACTTTAGATTCAACTACCATCACAACCCATGATTTGTTAAATAAATTTCACTGTCATATAAGTGACTTGTTCTTAAGAAAACGCCTCAATTCTAATCAATAGAAAAGTGGATTCTCCAACCCTCCAATGCTCCGCCAAAGTAGTCGTTAAATGTTCCATAGACCTTGTGCAACGACATCTTGACCTTCAGCGTTTAGCAGCTCCTTTAGCCATCTTCCGTAAGCGGATTCATGACCGCCAAGCGTAACCCAAGCGGTTGAGATAGCCCAATGAACAATCGGTGTGGTATTTGTGGACGTCGATGACATTTGGACCAAGTAGTTAGGGAGAGAGCGGTATATATTGAGGGCTGCTAGTTGTTCTGCGGTATTGTACTTGTCTCTTGGGGTTTCCCAGCTATCACCCTGAGACCCAGCATGGAGCCTGTTCTTTGTGAAGCTTTGATCAAACTGTGCACCAAAACTTTGGACAGCTAAGTTGGCTAGGACGCGGAAGATGTAGATGAGTGCTGTATTGTAAAACATAAACATCGTTACTGTTGATTCGTCTGAGAACGCTAAGACTGTGAGAAATGGGCATGTGGACAAGTTGTTTCGCAACGAATCTTGTTTTGACTGCTGCATAGCCAAGGGCATCGAGAGCTCGGTGTGGGAGTTTCTCTCATCATCGTCCCATTTCTTTCGCCAATCATGGAGCCGAGTGAGCAGTATTAGAGCCTTCTCTCTTGCTTCGCCTCGTTCACCAGCACTACATTCAGGTTCTAACCGCCTTTTTATTAGCATACCATCCCGCTGTGCGTTTATAATCGAGCAGTCTGCTAAAACGTCGAACAATTCTTGTTCCTGGATCTCTTTGGCTGAGCAGTTCGCTCTCAAGACGGCCTTCCACTCTGCTCTCGCGAGTATCGATGGTTTCGCAGTGCGCAGTGAAGCAAAAAGCATCATATGCCGCACTGCCTTGTAAGATCCGGTGGATCCCAGGAAGCAAGAGGAGCGGGGGTCGCGGAGCCCGAGAAGGGTTTGCAGTCCCATCATGTGTTTTAGGTATTGTCCTGCGCTTGTCGGCACTATACAAGCCAACATAGAGAAGGCAATGACTGAAAGAATGACGTCGTCACGAGTATAGCATTCCGGGTCTGATAGTGCATGATTAAGCTTCTTTAGTGCTTCTCCATATATAGCATACCCTTTTTCAATGATAGGCGTTTCCCGGTATTGGGTACCGTATACAAGGATAGCAAAGCTCAAGAAGGCTTGATGGAAGAGATGATCATTCGTCGTGTTCATTCTAGCAGACGTGATGTCGTCGAGCCGGATTCTCTGCAGGGCTAAATCAAGTGGAGCGCCTTGCCGAAGATACTTCCGAGCATAGCAGACGTAAATCTCGGAGTCGTCGCCCTTGAGTGACGCAAAACGGGGTACTTGACACTCAGTAGAGTCTGCGTCCTTGACGCCATACTTCGCCGATTCATTTGTTCTCTTCTCAGATCTTCTCGATTTCACAATGGTTCCTTTGATGAAGGTGATATCCTTCACGCCTGTGCATTCAACCCCCAATCTCTGGCACCGCCTACAAGTTGGACGGTGCTCGTCTCAAAAAAAGATCAGTTTTGCCACGCGCTTTTTTCATTATGCTCATAGCTTACCGCATTTGATGCGCCTTTTACGACAGGTAGAGCAGCCCTTTGACCTCCCCGCAACATTCACCATCTTGAGTGCAAGCGCTGGATTTGGGTACTACGAAGCGAGCTACATAGTACAACTGAGATGAATGATCGGCCGTTGAGATTGCCGGCATAGCTTGGTGGGGTTCTTTCGCCCCAAGTTTGTAACGAAGCTAAAATTGCTGGCACTATATGACGGCAGGTGAATCCTGGGCTATACCGCTTGCGGCTCAATGCGCGAGCAACCCTGTCTTTCTGTAGTCTTTCTACGGGAGCTGAGTATGCTCTTTATCACAACAATGGCTTCCTGTACCATATAAAAGGAGTTCGAGGACTCCAATACTTCCCACTATTTTACATGCTCACATTCTTACAAAGGTACGATTACCATAGTACCATATTTGTCCTTTTACCTATCTCCTTAAGGCTCCATCCAAATTATCAGCTGCTCCAAAATGTACACAGTCAGCGTCAGCATTGACATTGCAGCAGCTCCGGCAACTGTGAGAGAGAAGGTTAGTTACAGTACGAAGTTGAGCCATAATGGTAGCCTTATGGACACCTTTCGCTCGCCCTGGCTTTTGTAGAATTCTCAAGTCGAATCGTTCTATTCAAAATTCCATAGCTAATCGATTCATTCTTTAGTTTCTAGACTTCTGTCAATTACCAGTATACCATCGAGATGGTTTCTTCAAGTCAATTGGTCCAGAAACCCCGAACACACCTCTCGAGCCCGGAGTGAAAATGCGCAATGTGCTTGAGCTTATGACGGTCCATGCAACCTTAGTTGTACGTCTAAACTCTACCCTTCATAATCTTTCTCATTTTGGTCTTTTAATCACCGCAGCAAGCTTACCCTAACCAATTGAACTAGGAAAACTCCTCGACTTGCTTCCAATGGGGCGGTGGACTACCCGGGATATTTGTTGGCTATCATAGCTTCTGTTTTGAGCCAAGCACTCTTGTACAGGGCGGGACAAAATTTACCCAGAAGGAAGAGTTCAAAGGCTTTCTGGCATTCATAATGGGTGATAATTTCGTCGCACGATGGATTGGAACCATGGAGAAGACAAGAAAGGGTTGGAATAAGTACAATGAAGACTTGAAAGCATGGTGCGAGGGACTGAATAATAGGAAGTAATACGACTTAGCATCAGGCTAGAGAGTCAAGGAGGACAAGAAGCTGCGGTTCTAGGGCGGGAAGGGCAAGTCTATGATAATTTGCAAACTTAGATAATGTAGAACATCAACACCAAAAATAGTGCCAATTCATTCTAACTCATACGGGTACCCGGCTGTAGGAAAATTCTTTTCCACCTTGGTTGTCAAATATGTACGTACGCCCATGTGATTATTTCATATTTTAGTACCGGTGTGACCTCCTGAATGAGTTAAATACACCTCTGTATTGCGAGTAACTTAGGTGCATGTAAGTCCGTGACACCTGCATTATATGATGTATTGCAGCTGGTCCCAAGTCTTGATTCCTAAATTTGAATGAGAGGTAGTTGGCTAAGTCTCTGGAAGGCGCTCGTTTAGCAGTGTGATAGTGGCGTCTAGCACTATGGATTTTGGTTACATCAAAATGTGGCGCAGGAGATAGTCCGCTTTCTGAAATTCAGAACGGGGAGGACTAATCTATTTTTTACTGGGAACAGAATATTCATTCCTTACTGTATTATGTTTTATCATCATAAAAGAGCCTTCTTATGTAGACAAGTAATTAAGATAGGTACAAGTCATCTGGGTTACATGGTACTTTCACCACCGGTAATGGCAATATTGTGATTTTTCTCACCGTGTATATCTGTATTTTTTTACAGAAAGGTTGATTATAAATAAGCTGCATTTAAGTGGAGCTATATACTATCATGTCTATGTTGAGAATAAAAATATAGTATGGTAATGTTCTATGGAAAGGTCTAATAGAGATAATGCAAAGCAGATGAGAAAACATAAATACATCTTTGCCCAAAGCGTACGCTCAGTGAACCTCAATTACAGTTCTATTTTCTCTGCTAGCAACCATGCGTGCTTATAATATATTTTAGATTACTTTGACTGCATCTTTTTACTTATAGGCTACTACTTGGATAGCTATATCTATAAAGAGTTTTACCGTATCTATATCTACTTATATATATGATCTTCATTGGCCATTAATATCTAAAAATATAACATGTTTTTGTTGGAAACTTCAGTCTGATTACCGTCGAGTATAGCTAGGATAGCTATTAACGGGCGAAGTTAATAGGCTTCTGGTATACAAAAGTTATAGAAACAAATAAAGTCTTAATCAAAAATAGAATATCCTGATTAATAGAAGATTATATACTCAAATTATCTTAATTAAGAAGTACTTAACATAGTTAATTTAAGATAATAGAAGAAAATTAAATATAAAATAAATAAGTATTCTTATATACTTTCTTTTATTATAGCTATTATAGTTATTCTTATACATTTAACTCTGACAAGTCTAATTATATTTATTATAGCTAGATATCAATAATTAGCTCTAATAGCTACAATAGCTCTAATAAGTCTAATTATATTTATTATAGCTAGATACTAATAATAAGCTCTGATAGCTATGATAGCCCTAACTCTGATTCGTCCTAGTTTATGTGTGCTGTCCTTGGATAATTCTTTTATTCCTATGCATTAGCATTCCTTATCTATTAGCTGTGATGTTCTGATTCTCTGATAATTCTCTTCTCTAAAGGCTGGCATCTTGATAGCTTAATAAATAGCTTGTGTTTTCTAGATATATAAGCAATTATGTCAGAGAATCAGAATGTTACAGCCAATGGATAAGGGAAACTAATGTATGATAGAACAAAGGATTATCCATGACTGCTAGGGTTAGGGTAATAGAGCCAACAGAGCTATAACTATATTGATTATATCTATAAGAATAAAACAAATAAAGTAATGGCTATATTAGCTATAATAAAAGAAAATTATATAAAAATACTTCTTTACTCTATATTTAATTTTCTTCTATTATCTTAAATTAATTATAATAACTTAAATATATAATCTTCTATTAATTAGAATATTTAAAAGCCTTATTTTTATTTCTTTTATCTACTAGATCTTTTAATTTTAGAAATCTATTAACTTTACTCATTAATAGCTATCTTAGCTATACTTAATAATAATCTAATTAAAGTTTTTAATAATTTAAAACCTTTAGTTAAAAGAGAAGTCTTAAGAATAAGTAATAATAATATCTTAGATTCTAATTCTAATAATTTTAAGTCTTAATTCACAAACTATTAATACTAATAGTAAAAATATTATAACTATTAATAATAAAAATATAATAGTACTATTGAAATATATTAATAATTTAGAAAAAATTATAGTTAATAATAAAGAAAGAGTAAATTATATATTTTAAGAAATTAAAATTAGAATAGTAATTTTATTCAAAAAAGAATATAAAACTTTTAAAATATACTTTACTTAGATATAACTCTATTTTATATATAATAGTAAATAAATTATAAATAAGTTTAATAAGATACTAATAGTATCAAGCTTCCTTAATAAAAAAACTATAAAATAGTTTATTTTATATATTATTAATTAGTATTAAGCTAATAGCAATAAAAAATAAAAGAATCCTAAGATAATTGTAATATTTTTTAGCTACCAATACTAGAAAGAGAAACTTAACTAGCTATAAAGAATTATAAATAAGAAAATTAAAGCTATTAATAAAATCTAATATATTAAGTAATAAATCTTAGTTAGAAAATATATTTTAAGATTTTTATAAATATTAAAAGGACTTTTATAAAATAATTAAAAATTTAGAGATTAATTCTATAAAGAATTAAAAGACAATATTAAAGATTAAATCTTAATAATAATACTATAATTAGAAATATTCTAAGTAATAATAAAAGCAGCATCATAGATTGATTTAATTATTTATATTAAATAAATAGAGAAAGAAGAGTTTAGAAAAAATAAAGTAAATTTATATTAAAAATAAATTAAGAATAAAGATAAAGATATAATAATATAATTAAATATAATCTTATCTAAAGAAGAAAAGAATAAATTAAAAAAGAATAAAATTTATTTTAATTATAAAAAACTAGATTATTTTACAAATTAATACTAATAGTTAAGAAAAAACTAGAAATCAGTTATTTTAGATTTAAAAGAGCAAATTATAACTATAATTTTCTTAACACCTATTGATACTAATAAAGCTAATAGAATAACTAATAATAAGATTGATTCTAATAAAGATCTGAAGCAGTTAGTTAAAAATAAAGAATAATAATTAAAGTAGATAATAAATTATAAAAGAATTTAAATAGAATAGATAAGATAAATAAATAAAGAAAATATACTAATATAATTAAAAAGAATGCTTAATAATTTAAGTAGAACTAAGATATAATATTAAAATACATAAAAAAAGAAATAAATAAGTATTAATATAAGAATAAGATATTAATCTTATAAATATAGAGAATAAACAAATTAGATAAGCTATACTTATAAATTATCTAGATAGAAAGATTATCCTAGTAAAGAAGAGATAGAAAAAAAATCTAGTATAAAAAGTATTAAAAGAGATTCTTTTTTAGAAGAGTTGTTTTATATTTAATTAATATTATAGGATAATAAATTAAAGATAATAATCTATAAAGACCTATACTAAGAATAAATAAAAAATCCTATTAAGAATAAAATAAGAGCAAAAATATAAAAAGATATTATAAATTTTTAAAGAGATAACTTATATAATTATATGTCTGCTAATATAATCTATTAAGAAAAATCTTAATAGAAATAAAAAAACTATATTAGAGAATATAAGAAATATAATAAATAAATATATTATATATATTAAAAGTATAGATAGATATACTTATCTTTAACAGCAATATATAAGTATATTTTATATAAAAGAGGAATATACTTTTGTAATGAATAAAATAGATATATAAGAAATTATTCTTATCATCACTATCTATCTACTAGAAGAAATTTGTATTATAAAGTTTACTAGATAATATATTATAATAATTTATATAAACTTCATATTAAATTAAAAGCAATATTATGATGATTTCTAAATATCTTATCTATTATCCTAGAACTAAAACTAGAATGTTTATAAGAGTAGTTAGAATGCCAATATATTTATAAAGAATTAGCACACTCTTATTATAACAACCTTATAATAATAGAATGCCAGATAAAAGGGTTATATAAATAGTATATAACTAGTATAAAGGAATTTTTCAAGTAGAGATAATAATTTTAAGAAAAACATATAATTATAATAGAATTTATTATAATAATTATAAAACTAAAAGCAGTTAGTCAAATGATTATAATACTAGTAAAAATTAATAGGAAAAATACAAGGATCTTATTAGATTTAAAAGCAGCCTATAACTATATTAAAGAAGAATTTACAAAAAAAACTAAAATACCTATTATATAAACAAATAAATAGATAATAATTATCTCTATTAATAAAGAAACAATCAGTCAAGATTATAAAAAATAAGTATTAAATATTATTATAAGATTAAGACAATATATTATAATAGTTATACTTAATATCATACCAGTATTAAGAGAGTACTATAATGCTATATTTAGAATAATATAATTATAAATATAGAACCTAATAATTAACTAGATAAATAAAATAATAGCAGTTAATAATATAATATTATAAATAAGGATTATTAAGAAGAAGATTAAAGAAATTGCATAATTATATAAAAAATTAGGGTAAAGTCTTAATATACTATCAGATACTGAAAGATCAGGATAGAAGATAAATAAATAAAAATAAAAGATAATATTTACTAGAAATAATAAGTATATTAATAATAAAAATAAAGCATAGAAAGAGAAACTATAAGATAATTAAAGAAACCTAAGTAATGAAAATAAAAAAAGAATTAGAAATAATAAAATAAGAGAAATTAAGATAATCTAGTAAGTATAAATAATTAATAAAATGAGGATTACTAAAAAGATAAAATTAAAATTAAAAAAATTATATGAAAAGGAACTTATAAAAATTTTAGTAAAATTATTAAAAAAGTACTATGAATTTATTAAATTATTTATAAAAAAAGAATAGTAATTATTAATATATAATAAAGAATTTAAAGTATAAATTAAGCTATAAGAAGAATTTACACTATATTTAGTTAAGTAATATTATAAGTTAAGAGATGAATTAGAACTTAAGAATGAGTTTATTAATAAATTTTATGAAGTAATATATATATAATTAGGATATAAGAAAGTATTAGTATAATTAATATTTGTTAATAAAAAGAATATAATTAAATGAATGATTATTGATTACTAAGTATTAAATAATAGAATAGTAGATAATATAAATAAGATATTTTACTAAGAATAAAAAAAAGATCTTTTATAAGGAGTAAAGATTATGATAGTGTCAGAGAATCAGAACGTCACAGCCAATGGAT